GGGTTTACAAAGGCTCGAAGAATATAACGGCATGCAATAGAAAATGCAGCCCAGTAATGTCATGCAGACAATACACATTTTATATGATATTACACTACTGTATTGGAGCTTTTGTTACAAGACTTGTTTAACTGGCTTGTTTGCGGTAGGAAATGGCTCATATAGCATGCCCACTTTATATTAGTTCTTTGAAATGTAACTTGGTGACAAACATATATGTTCTTTGCATTAACTTTTCTTTTTTTTTTTCTCTAAAGAGCAATATGATGCGTTTGTGAAGTTCACGCATGATCAGATTATGCGACGATATGGAGAACAGCCTGCTAGCTGTAAGTATATTTTCTTGATTTCATCATGCCAACTCAGAATACAGCTTCTGAGTCTTCCTGACTTGTGGTAAGATGTTGTTCTATGATATGCTGCACTTTATAATTACTGTGTGTGCATATTTCACAGTAAACTGACCTGCTTACCATAAGCGCTTTACAATATTGAAGGAATGATTCCAAATCTAGCAACCTTGAAATGTTTTGCATACAATGCCAGGGCAGTGTGGGTTCCTGTAGTTGTCTAGTCTGTAAATGTTTATCCAGCATTCAATATCATTTTATTGTCCAATACTGTTTAAAACAGGAACACAATTTGTTTAAATGAACCCACCTAATACTGCTTGAAGCCAAACTCCGGGGGAAAGAAAAATCTTAACCCTTGGAGTGCTGAGGTAGGCCCACTGGAAGGGTTAAGTGCTCGTTTGTCTAGGTTAAAAAAAAAAATGTCATACTCGCCTGATCTTGAAGCCAGCTTGCCCTTAGACTGGTCCCTGGAGCCTCCATCTCCCTCTGCTGCAGTGATCTAAGGATCCTTGAGTCATCAAGTTCTATACACCGTGTGAAGGATGTGAGGACGTTGAAGGACATACCATCACTGCAGCAGAGGAGACAGGCTGAAGGGAGCACTGTCACTGCCATCACCTGGATCTGAGGTTCAAGTGTGTGTGTGTGATTATTTATATATATATATATATCCCACATTGCTGGGCCCTGCCCTTTTGCCTAAAGTGACCCAATCATGTTTGTTTTTATATTTTCAAACCTTTTAGTTTGTGAATTTTCTGAAAGCGCAGTAAATGTAGAATTAAGTGTTGTACATACCATGACAGTCGCACAAATGTGTAATCAAAGCAAAATACTGAGCACTTCTGCGTTCAAAAATTGTTTGGCATTCTGTCAGAAAGCCAGCAGTGAGACCAATAGAGGCAGCAGGCACAGACTGGGCAATCAGCAGGCAGTAGAAATTGGGGGTCAGAGGGGGCACAGCAGAGGAAGGGAGAGCTACTGGATCATATAGTTGGAGGACACACAGGGCAGTGGGTGTACCCACATTTTTGTAATAGCCATTCTCAAATTGTCAAGGGTCCAGCTTCTAGCCTAAAGGAATGCTCTGGATGTATGGGATACCAAGGTGGCCCTCTGCAAGCAGTTCTGCTCTGACGTAGCTATTACATGCATGGCAGTAAAAAGGTGAAAGGGTTTTGCTGCTATTGTGATGAAAGAAGCCTTATCAGAATCTTTGAGAGAGATTACATGTTAAAATCAATAGACTCTAGTTTGTAGTGTGATTGATTTAAATTCCCCTTAAAGACAAAACCTAAAGTGTGGTAATGTGGGCTAAAAAAAAAAGGCTTTGCCAATGGCTACACCTTGGTACTTGTTAACATGTCTCAACGTCAAAACGGCTTTTACAGGTTTTTATCATTTGCAAAGTGCTCTTACTATTGACAAATGTATCTTATTTGTGTATCACTCGGCTGTAGATCCTCAAATCATCTCTGCACTGTCCTTCTGGAGGGTGGCTACTTCTGTTCCCCATGGTCCCTGTGTGCGTTGTAAAGTAGCCATCGCTCCAAGCTCACTCCTGTGATGGACTACAATCTCATGTTTAGTTCACTAATATTTGTATTGAGATTGTAGTCTATCATGGGAGCGAGCTTGGAAGTGTCACTTTAAAGACCTAAGTTGTAGATTTTGGTTAGTAACTTGCTTCTAGTTGCACTATAGTGAGAGTAAAGCACTTGCTGTTAGGTACACAGTCAGCTGAGCTTTACGAGGGGGGGGTTTGTACAGACACCAGAGCTTTTAGTTTTTGGCTGGCATCCATTCCTTGTCCAACCACTGTTACATTCTTGGTCTCCCTACTCCTGGGTTACCACTTGGCAGATGCAGCCATCCAAATAGTGATGTATTGATTGCTACAGGGAAAGGTTTCTCTGTACTCATTGTACTGTTACCAAACGCCAGGCAGATTGTGAGTCCTGGTCTGTTTAATGTTTGGTAAAGGTGCAGAGAGCACAATTCTCCGAGAGATCAATAATGAATCTGGTTTGAATACCAATGAAGTCATTCCATTCCTGCAGAGACGGCTCCGTTTAATGATGTTGTAATATGAAGGACAGCGTTTTCCAAACATTGCTGAGAGAGCGGTCTGTTTTCCTACAGCGTTCCCAAGCTTTCAGTACAGCGACCTGCAGTAGTTCTGTCATCTCGGTTTTAAATGATTCTGTTTTATAACTCCATTTGTATTTCTTCCCCACAGATGTCTCATGAATTGTTCTACGCCTTCCTTGGCTGTGCTCCTTTTTATTGCTGCAAGATGTCCTAGTTAAGAACTGCGGCAATGCCATAATCCCCTCCCCTGTGAACACAGCTTATTTCAAGCTTTTGTCAGTGGCAACACCTCTTATGCAGCAACTGGTTTTGGAGTGTTCCCTGATGTCAGTGCCACCTGGATGTGGATCTAAGCTACCTGTATTAATATACCAGTGGCCTCATTTGCTGTATCATTAAAATCTGGCTTCTTTTGTTCATGTTTTTTTTTTTTTTAATGGTTTAAAGCTGATGTTCGAGAACATGCCCTATCCTATGCTAGTTGTGTAAATAAGTGAAAATAGCAATTCCTTTTTTTTTTGTGGATGGATTTTCAAGAAGGTTTTAACAGTGCACTACAAAGCAGTATCCATCGCCAGTGCGGTGGAATCATCCATGGGACAATTTCCAAGTTACATTCTACATATATGACCAAGAGAAGACCATAAAAAGAAGGGCATGTCTATTTTAAAGGACTTTTGGGGAAATGGTGAAGATGGATTTATGATTTTGTTAGTTTTTATTTATTCTCTCATTCTTTAACAAATGTTTAATGCAATTTTTCCCGTCTATCATTGTTTAACTGCCTTGTAGTACTGGAATTTAGTTGAAAAAAAAATAAACAAAAAAAGAAAACAAAGGGCTGCTTTTTCAGATGTATTTAATCAGGAGGGGTGTTTGTTTTCTTCTCTCGTATGCTGGGTGGAAATCTGGATAGCCTGGGGAAGGGTTATAATTAGAGGTGCACCAAAATGGAAATTTCAAAACCGAAATATTTTAATTTTTTCAAATTGTTTTTAATTTATTAAACTTTTTGATTTTTAAAAAAAATATTTATTTTTTTGTTAAATATTTTTTACTTTTTAGGGGCTTTGGGGAAATATTAGGGGTCTAAACAGACCCCTGATAGTTCCCTTTTTAAAATAGAAAAATAAATTCCTTTAATCTTTCTATATCCCCTGTTATCAATGAACAGGAATCCTCTGAGTGTTTCTGTTCATTGATAACATGAGGACATGGTGTATTTACTATAACCACAATTATGAATGAACAGGAATGGATATATATAGATCACTTCCCATTCATTCATAATTAAGGCTATAGTAAACATACCATGTCCTCAATTATGTACAAACACTTAGCGATCACGAAGTGTATGTAGCCTGCTCTACTCTCTGGCTTTCTGTCACAGGAGGCTGGGCTCTCCTCCCTACAACGCTCGCTCAGCCTCCTGTGACAGCGCGGGCTGTCTCCACCCACACACCGCTCTCTGATTGTGATAGGAGGCTGAGCAGGGTGGGAGGAGAGACACTGGCCGCTCACAGTGCTCTCCTCCAGCAGCGCTCGGCCGGCTGTCACTTTCTCTCCTACCCGCTGGGACACAGAGCAGCGGGGAGGACAGAATACTCGGATGCGCCGATGTATCGGCAGGAAAATGGCACTTTCGGCATTTAGCCAAAAGTGCAATTTTCGGCCGATATATACTAGGGTGCATCCCTAGTTATAATTTAGCAGGTTTTTGTCTTCCTGGTGGGGAAAATCCCTTCCTATCCTCAAATACTGTGTGGAACAGGAAATGAAATGATGGAATCCTCCCAAGCTGGGCATAAGACGGCAGTAAAGATTTGTCTGGCATTCAGCTTTAAAATGACAAACACATTTACTATACAAACACATTGCACAATGACCTTTGGCCTGGTTCACACTAAGCATATTGTCCCAGCTGATTCAGCATGACAAAGTGCTTCACACAAAAAAAAAATGTAATTCATTCTTATGGTACCTGTTAACATCCGAGCCTTTTGTCACAATAAGCAAAATGGCTGCTGCTAGAAAAAGTACACAAGCTTCTTTTTGGCAGATTACAACTTGTTTTTGCCCCATAGTCAATATGAAACGCTTGGAAATGTGTTGCAATTGGTTTTGCACGTTTTTGCCCTTTTACATCAATGTGTCAAAATCTGCTCATAAAAACGTGTGACTTAATGGATGTGCGTTTTACGTTTGTAAGAACATGCTACAAAAAAAGCTTTTCTCCACACGAAAATACTGTTGCCTAGGTGTGAATCATCAGGCTTACAAGTGTACCCAGAATCTATCTAAGAAACTGATAGACTCCTAATATCTATAGTAAATAGCCCATCATGACTAGCTTTGTCTTCACAAGGCATACATTAACACAATGCATTTTCTCTATACTTTCACTTTTGATGACAATAGTGGTTGATCCGGCCTGTGACTTACTCTTGTCTGCAGTGGTAATGATCTGCAGGCCTATGTACCCTTTGCAGCATTACCACTGCATTAGGCATGCTCAGTTTAAAAAACAAAAAAAGCCACGTATATGGCTTATTCTGCCCAACAGGACATTCTTGCTTGTTCTGGCCAGGGAGCTGAGCAGGACCAAGCTGCAGCATGGCACGTCTCATCTTTACGTAAGTACTCTTCCCAGTCTACTGTAGTCAGTTGCAATAATGGGGCTCTCCAGAGGAGTTGCTGTAAAGCAACACTATTCCCCGCCCCTGTCAAGTGGTGCTGCATGGGATGTAGGCAGCTGGTAGCCTGGCAGGATGGATAATGGTTTTGACAGTGGCTTCTTTTGGAGATTCTTGCGGTCATTATTGACTGTAGGGCAGACTGGGAGGAGTGCTCGCTTCAGGATGAAGTGACTCGCTTTGGCTTGGTCCCACTTAGCACTAGGTAGTCATGTCACTTGTGGAAAAAGCGTAAGTAAGAAGTCTTCTTGAGTACTTTTGATATTTAATGCTTACTGCTTTTATTTGTGAGAATTTTCCCTTCAGAGTTATCGCAGAAGAATCTAGGTTTACTGGCAGTGCTATACTGGGCCACACATCCTGGAAATTAACCCCAGTAGCCATTTGCACATAGTGTTATACCAGACTCTGAATTTTCACTGCGCCAGGTGTTCTTGCCGCTCCATGACCATTCTAGATTGGTATGGTCATTGCAGCAGACATTACTGGGACCAAGTTTCAGGCCCCATTTAAACCAGATCCGTTGCAATCCTTTTTTATTGAACGCCAACAGAAGGTAAAACCCCCCCCCCCACCACTAAAAAAAAAAAAAGGGGGTCAATGGGCACGGTT